ATCTATCTAATCTATCTATCTATCTATCTAGTCTATCTATCTATCCTCATTATCTATCTATCTATAATACTGTATATCTATCTATCTATCTATCTATCATCTATCTATCTATCTATCTATCTATAAATACTATCTATCTATCTATCTATCTATCTATCATCTATCTATCTATCTATCTATCTATCTATCTACTATCTATAAAATACTGTATCTATCTATCTATCTATTCTATCTATCTATCTATTAATCTATCTATACTGTATATATATATAAGATCTATCTATCTATCTATCTATCTATCTATCTATCTATATCTATCTAATCTAATCTATCTATCTTCTATCTATCTATCTATAATATATATATGTGTGTGTTTGCCGGTCGGCCACCAGAGGGCGCTGCAGTTCCGGTGTGCAGTGAATCAACGTGCAGGCGAGGTGAGTGCAGTCACGTGACCACAGCTCGTTGCCGTCGGTGAGTTTTCCCCATTATGGCGGAGGGGCCAGTCGTACGGATGGACTGTCTCTCCCACTCTGATGCTTGTTTTGTGTCTTGAGGGAGGGCGTTTTTATTTTTATTTTTGTTTACCTTCCCCCGCCGCAGCCTGGTTTCCTTTCCACTAGACTGCACTCGTGTTTTGTCGGCGAAGCGATGGCAGACCGCGGCGTGGATCTGTCCGCCCTGCCAAAAGAGGTTAGAGACCAATTGGCGGAGTTGGATCTGGAGCTGTCTGAAGGTAAAGGAGGGGAGGGGGGCTGATGAGAGAGGAGGAAGGTGGTGGTGGTCGTTGGGGGGGGGGATGTTATAGCAGATTCCTAAGCTAACTGTGTCTGAGCTGTCTGGGCTAACCAGCATCGGTTGAAGCCAGTAGTTTCCCCTCCTCCTGTTCTTACTTTACGTGTATCACAGATTGAATGGACACCGGCACCAAAGCTGTGAGCCACATACTTAGCTTATTTGGTGCTAACACAGGATGTGCACACACGAGCTAGCAGTGCATGACAAGCAGCCAGGAGGAAGAGAAAGGATTTCATCCCCCTTTTTTTATCGTGTCTGTCGTTTTTTTTATTCATCTCGCACAGTTTTCAAATCACAACGTCGATTTAAAGACGTGTTTTCTGTGTCAAATATCGTCATTTGCGTTGTGGTTGAATGTCAGCCATAGCTCTCAGTGTGTGTGTGTGTGTGTGTGTGTGGGGCTGTCTGACAGACTGGGGTGGCCAGAGGCAAGGTCTGGCTGCCAGGGTTTGACCCCCTCTCCTGTCATCTTTGTTACACTCCTTCATATAGTTTGATTCAGCTTCCTGTCTGACATCATGCAGGCATTGTACTTGGCATCAGCTTTTCAGGGTTCTGCTGAAATGTGGTTTTATTGCAGTGAATCTGTGAGTCACAGTGAGTAGTGTTAGAGGTGTAATGACAAGGCCTACAGTCATCATCTGCTTAGGAGTCATATGGAGACACGGTCTGTTATGAATGACTGTCAGCAATTCTCAAATGTAGTGTGTTGACCTCAGTGACGTTCATTGTCATGTGATCAACAAGGATCTGTACGTAGCCTGATACACCTGTGTAAACCGGCTATTACTGTAATTATAGGTTTACCTACCTGCCAACCGTGGTTACATTGCCCTGCGAGACCTGTGTCAGGTGTACGCGTGTTTGTTTTGCTCATGTGGACGTAGGTGGGTGATGGATGTGTCTATTTATTGTAGTTTACAAATATCTCAACCATTCATTCATCCAAAGCATGATGCAAATCAACCCCTCCCCCAGCAGAGCAGCTGTTAGCCCCTGTCCTGCACTGCACCCATTGACACACACTGTCACATCCCTGGGTGTCCCCAGCTTTGTGACACCTTTACATTCTTCCAGTGGCGATTGAATCCGGTCGTCCTGCGCATTGACCGCTCTTTGCTTTACAGGGGTGTAATATGGTTTTTGAAACTCACAATCAGTATTTGATATTTTCCCACTTATGTCTGGCTAACACCAGTTTTTGATATGCATGTTTGACTCTTAATACAAATGCAGGTTAAGCTTTTCATTGTCATGCCTGTAATAAGGCCTTCAAAAGGAACATGGTGCTATAAAAGACCTTGACAACGTGGTTCTGTTGTATTTGAGTTGTATTGCCTGGTATACTAATAATAGACACAAGTTAATTATAAGAATATTGTAGAGGGACTGTTGCTGACTGACCTTTAAGGTTAATGTGTTACTCAGCTGTAGATCAGCTAATATTAAATGTGCCTGTTATGTTAAAGAGTTATACTGGTGGTTTTGGATGTTTTAGCCCATTCATTACAAAGGGTTTATATTTTATATTTACCACAGTTTTATTATAGGTCATTTAAAGGGGTGATATGACTTTATATACTTTGTATTGTGGGAAATGTTTATAAATCTTACTTTAATATGTCAGGTATATAATTTTCTGGATTAGCCATAAAATAAATGTATTTCTGATTTCATCCAGGGAATAAACACTACATCACAATCTGTATAGGTATAGACCTTTTTCACAGCAGCCATTTTGACAATAGTAGCGTAAACCCAAGTGTTACCAATGACACTAATTAAGATTCAGTTCCACTCACAGAGTCAGGGGTGCTACTGTTGTGTGTGCTGGCTCACTGGAAACGCTGTGCTACACTAAATGGAACTGAACCCTAATTAGTATCATTGGTAACACCGGTGTTTATCCTACTATTTCATATCAAAATGGCTGCTGTGAAAAAGGTTCTGTTGGGATATAAAACTACATATATCATGATGAAGTTTTTGTCCATATTGCCCACCCTTTGTCCTCTTTCCAGCCAGTGATTGATTTCACTTCACATCACAATGTATTTGCAATCATCTTGTTCACGCCCTCGAAACCTCAAGAACACGTCACATTTATTTTTGGTCACATTTGGTTGCATACACCGATGCAGTTTCAAACAGGAACTGTCCTAAATAATCTTCCTTTTCGGTGCATTGGTACTTGTGAGAAACGTGTAAGACTTAAGAGTTAGTTGCTGAAAGATCCAATCTCTTTTACAAGGAAAAATCTTATTCACATGAGCCCAGTGTCCATGTTTACTCACTGTGTAAGCCAGCAAGCCCCTTTATAACTGCATGCATGTGGGATGTCATCACCTCACAGAAGATTTTTCTTGAGTCCATAACAAGCCCTCCTCTGAACCAAGTGGAAATGCCTGTTCCTGCGTTGCTCGGATAAGAACACAGGCCTGCCAAATGGCCTCTTAAAAAACAACCCAGTTCTGCTAGCCCCCTGTGACCATGGGGACACAATGAGGACCATTCAGCTGGTCTGAGCCGCCGTGGCCAGGAGCTCCGCTGCCATTTAGGCCATTCAGCTAAACCCAGCCTTTGTGTGCACGTTGGAATGAGCTGCCTCCATAGGAAGAGACGAGAGGGGCTGGTGACTGGTCAAACTTGAGAAGATGACGTGTAGTGTGTGTACTACTGAGGGGAGCGGTTCACCTCTCTTACCCTGCCGTCTCTCAGCTGGGCCAGGGGTAAAAGGTCATGTCTGGTTCGTCCCTGTAACTAGCCTACCTGGTTGACATCCCCCACCAGCTGTCAGACATGTTCCACAGAAGTCCACCGACTGCTGACTCAAGCAAAATTCCACACGGATTAGTTTTTCGTCTGTGAATTAGAAGCAGGTGGCCCAGGCCAAAGTGCCGTTCTGACATTAAAATACAACTTGAAATGATTGGCATTTCCTCCCCGGCAGATTATAAGTCTGAAAACTCAGGAGCACTTTCTCGTGTATGTGTGTGTTTTTATGTGGAGATAGGGTCTTACTATGATCTGTACGTGCAGACAGAGAGTCCGGATTATTGCCAGTTGTTTCCTTTCTAGGCCAATCATCTAGTTAAGCAGCCAGCGTTGAGATGCAGAAGCCGGCTTGGCTCGTTGTTGTATTAAGACCGAGGGCCCAGAGGATGACAGCGCTGATACGGACCCAGTCTGTCTCAGCCATCCATCCTCCTGACCCTAGCCATCGGTGACAGCGTGTAGGGCAAAACCTGATGGACCCTTGAGGAAGACTCTCCTCCTAACCGGGGAGGAGGTCTGTGAAAACATATCCGTTCTCTCTCTGTAATATTTATGAATGGGATACGCAGTAAACTGTTGTATTTGTAAGCAGACATGCGATAGATACTTGTGATAGATACTTCCTCATAGGGTGGAGGTCTGCACTGGCAAACAAATAGAGGAATAAGGGCCTCTTGCGCAATAGTAAAAACTGAAATCTCTACCCAAATTCAAATCAGTTCACAGCTTTTGTTTCTTGCAGGCTTAATACGACATGCTTTAACAGCTCTGCCAAATGTGAGTGTCCTGTAAATAGGAGTGGGCAATATGTTCAGAATGGATATTGTTATAATTATCACAGCATCAATATGTTCAACAATAGCATTTATTTGTCCTTTTAGCGACTATTAATATGGCTTTTTTGGACAAGTGACAGTCTAGAGAAACAGAAAACGAGGGGAAAGAGAGAGGGGATGATGATATGCAGCAAACATCCCCAGCCAAAGCAGACCGGGAACATCGCAATTACAGACTAGTCAACTACTTCCTGTGATGCTATTTGCAGTGTTCAAAATGACATGTTAAAAAGTAAAACTCGTGTTTATCCTGTTAAATCAAATGGGGTTATAGTGTTTTTCTAGATTACAATGCTATAATTTAAAAACAAGTTTGTTCTTAGATCTCATGCTGTGACAGATTTAGGTCAAATTGAACTTTTTCATTAAACATAGCAACAACTGTGAACCATAGTAGCTCATTGTGGGTGTTATATGGATTATAAAGAGGATGATTAACTCTAAAATTGATTTATTGCCCAGACCTACTTGTGAGACAACTTTAATCTTTAAGAGTTATAATATCAAGTTCTATATTCCTGTTTAAATATAAATATGCTGTAGTATATGCTTCTGTCAGCGCCCCATAGGTCAGAATTCACAAAGCACAAATCATCTTCCCCGTAGCATCATAGCCAAAGCCTTAGGTCCAAGCAGATGGTTGGGTACTCTTGGCACGCTTTATATATGTGTGTGTGTGTGTATATACGTACAGTGTGTGTACACGTACAGTGTGTGTATACGTACAGTATGTTTGCACATACAAATGTGTGTGTGCAGTGTGTCATAATACTGTTATACTGTGAATAGTTAATGATGGCTTCAGTCCCTTTTCCTCCTCCAGACCTATTGTAGGCTGAATTATTCACATGCTCTCATTAAATACCAGGACACCCTCACAAAGCGGTGTTGGTGTGGGTGGGTGTGTTGGTGTGTGTGGTTAGTGAGCGTGATTTCTTTATGCTCCCCAGGTAGAAGCTGAGGCATGCACAGAAAAAAAAAGCCAATCTGACTACTTTGAATTAGTGCCAGGAGATATATTGACATCCCACTCATCAACCCTTCAGACCTGCACATGTCTCATGTGGGAACCTCATTTTCTACAGTAGAGAAAACTTGTTGAACAAGCTCACATGTAATGTCAGTAAGGGCTGGGCAATGTGGCATAAATCAACAATATTAGTAAGAATAGTGTTTTTCTTATACTGATACTGAACAGTATGGTAAATGTACACAGTGTAAAACATTCAGATTGACTCCTCTGTTATGGATTTTAGTACACCTGACAACAAAATTGTCTTATTTTGTTAAATGATAACACATTATGATCATATTGTCATAAAATGTA